CCATGTGGTTGCTGGGAATTTGAACTCAGGTCCTCTGGCATAGCAGCCACTACTCTTAACCTCCAAGTCATCTTTCCAAGACCCCAACAGTAAACCATTAATGGGCATTTGAGAACAGAGCTTGAGCAAATCAAGTTATCTTGACAAATCTATGAGCCATGCTTTCTCTTCCAAAAAGATCTAGTGTCCTAGTGTCTGAAGACAGGGAAGAAGGAACAAACAGGACTCTGACACTCTTTTTTTTTTTGCTTTGTTTTGTTTTGTTTTTGTTTTTGGAGACAGGGTTTCTCTGTGTTGCTTTGGAGCCAGTCCTGGAACTAGCTCTTGGAAGATCCACTTAGACGTGATGGGTAAGCCTTCATTCCAAGTTTTTCACTGTTGTGGACAAGGCTGAGCAGGATTTTATTTTATTTGGCATTGGGATAGACACCACTACCCAGGGCATCGAACTCACAGACATCCTCCTGCCTCTGCCTCCCAAGTGCTGGGTTTAAAGGTGTGTGCCACCACTGCCTGGCTTGTTTTATAGATCTCTTATGTATAGTAATTTAAACATAAAATACAATGTTAGCCACCCTCCCCTCACTTCCAAAGTGTCAACATCACGTGTACCTTCTTGTTGTATTTCACCATGAGAAATTGTAGGTCCCCTTTTTCTGTTGTTCCGTCTGTCCTTTTAGTGTGACTCCTGTTAGTCAGAGCCTGGTTTCTCAGAGCTGACTAGGATATGGACAGAAATTCATAGATGTGTCAGCTTGACCACAAAGAGGAATTTTTTAGTAACCAGAGGTGGGCAGAGCTAGAAGCCCAGCCTTGGACTGAAGAGATTTGTTAGTGGTGTATTCATCTCTCTACATTCTGCCTACTTTATACAACTATTAAAATTATGGGTTGGAGAGGTCATCCAACCCAAATCAAGTGGGAACTCTTGCTTTGTGAAGTAAGCATCCATGTTGGGTTGCTGTTTGGTGGGCCTCATATTTATTTCAGGGCAAAAAACGGTCACCTGAATATAGCAACAGTCTTTCTGGCATTTCCAATGGCCCTCTGTATATTTTGCACTATGGGCTCAATCTACCATTGCCTAAAAATATTTGATGAAAAAAAAATTCACTTGTATAGGATATGAGCGGGACTTTTTCTTATCATTATTCTCCAAACAGTAAGAACAACAATTTACATTGTATTAGATACTACAAATAATCTAGCTGGGATCACTATTATCATTTACATTGTATTAGGTATTGAAAATAATCCAGAGATTATTTTAAGTATAAGTATAGAAGGTTATTTATAGAATCTATATGAATTCTATGTGATTTTATATAAACCATGAATACTGAACACATATGTGGCCTGGAGCCCTTCAGTATACCAAGGTACCTTTGATTTTTCCCTTCAGGTGGTAGCTGCCATGTTTGAGCTGAGTAAAGACCAGCTTCAAAGTGACTTCTATGATATGATAAGGACCATGGGGGGAAAGGAGACAGATGCCACTCATCACTCCCTCCAGGAAGTGTTCTGGCTCTGTACCACAGCAGGGAAAGGCTGAAATTGGGTATAATTCCAGGCAGCAGGCTGAAGACTTTTATATATTTTGTTTTCAGACAGGGTCTCATGTAGTCTAAGCTGGGTTCAAACTTGCTACATAGCCAAAGATGACCCTTAACTTCTGATCTCCCTACCTCCACCTCCCCAATACTAGGATTATGGGTGTGTACCACCATGCCCAGTTTATTCGGTGATCAAACCCAGGACTTTGTGTTTGGTAGGTGTATTAGTCACTGTTCTAACACAGAGATTCCATAACAAAGGCAACTCTTATTATAGAGAACATTTAACTGGGGCTTGCTCACAATCTCAGAGTCTTAGTCCATTGTCATCATGGCAGGAAGTATGGTGGTACACATGGCACTGGAGAAGTAGCTGAGAGCTTTGCATCCTGATCCACAGGCAGGCAGAGGGAGAGAGAAACACTGGGCTGGGTGTGGACTTTTGAGAACTCCAAGCCCACACCCAGAGTCACTTCCTCCAACAGGGCCACACCTTCTAATCCTTCCCAAACAGTGCTATTCCCTAGTGACTAGCCATTCAAATATATGAGCCTATGAGAGTCATTTTTATTCAAACTACCACCATAGGCAAGAACTTTGACGTGCTGGCAAAGTTATTATTTAAAAAGAAGCAGAAGAAGAAGGAGGAGGAGGAGGAGGAGGAGGAGGAGGAGGAGGAGGAAGAGGAGGAGGAGGAAGGGGGAGGGGGACCTGAGATGTATCTTAGTAATCTTAGTAAAGCTCTTGCCTTATTTTTTGTAATTAGTGGCTTTGCCAGCACGTCAATCAGTCAACTGATCAACTGATCAGTCTGTAAGTAGTAAGTTTTGTAAATAAACTGGCAATCAAAGAAAAAACTTTGAAATCCTAATTGGGGGCTATAGACATGGTTCATCAGTTAAGAGTGCTTGCTGCTCTTCCAGAGGACCCAAGTTTGGGTCCCACCCATATCAGGTGGCTCTCAACCATCTGTAACTCCATCTCCAAGAGATCTGACACCTTTGGATTTCTGTTGGCAACCGCGTGCACAACAGTGTACACTCACACAGACATACATATACATAAGTTTAGAAATAATAATAAAAAATAAAATCTGTATGAATGCAATTGGCAAAGGAAAAATTTTGAAGTATAGGGGTTGGTTTTGTTTTGTTGACACAGGGTCACATTGTGTAGTCCTATTTGGCCTCAAAAGTCAACAGAATGTTTTGGTCTAGGGTGTGAGCATTACTTGTCTTGTTCTGGCCACAGAACGTTTAACTAAGAATGTATCCTGTAATCTTCCAACTGCTCAGTTCATTTCTTGTATCGTGTTATTGCAGTTTTTACCTTACTCATACCTTTTGGGGTTGAGGTATTTAAGCAAATGGAAATTAGGGTGATTCAGTATTCACTGGAACTCCCTCCAGATACTATCCTATGCTTTGATTTGTTATTTTCACTCACATCTTGGTTCTCTTTACTTATTTTTCTATTCCCCACTCCCCTACCCTGGTAAGTGTTATCCTTGTTGATGCTGGTCTCCAACGCCATCAATCAGACTGGCTATAATCTTAAACCATATGCCGTCATCTCACAGGAATGACACCAACAGGCTGGTGAGACGGGAATTGTGACAGAAGAGGGCAAAAGTAGAATTTACTTGATGCCCTGTGTAACAACTTCATCTTGCAAAACAGTAGGGAAAGGCTGTCTAGGCATAGGCATTCAAAAGAGCTCTTTAAGGGAGGTTTTTCTATGTGGACAGACAATGTTGCAATGTCTTGGTGCTGCAGCTACTGTTTATCTTGGTTAGTAACAGTGTGGCCTTAAGTCAAAGATAGTCTTGTTCTGAGTCAGAATCGGCTCAGCAAGATCATCCATCCTAGCACTAGGTAGTGGTGGAACATGTCTTTAATACCAGAACTCATGAGACAGAGTCAGGCAGATCTTGATGCCAACCTGGTCTACAGAGCTAGTGCCAGGACAGCCAAGGATACACAGGGAAACCCTGTCTCAATTACCCATTCTAAACTGCAACCATATTTTGAAACTAGAGCTTATTGTGGTCAACTCTTTCTGAAAGGTAATTAACAGTCCTGCAGGGAAGCAGCCGTTGCCTTGCTCAAAGACCAGCCTGATGTGGGAGTGTCATATATCAATCTGTTGATTTCATTGGTTAAGCAATAAAGGAACTCCTTGGCCCTGATAGGTTAAAAGATAGATGGGAGGAGTAAACAGAATAGAATTCTGGGCGGAAGAGGAAGTGAGGTCAGACTCTGCTCTGCTCCCGGACAGCATGGACGGAGGCTAGAATCTTCCCGGTAAGCGCACCTTGGGGTGCTTACACGCATTATTAGAAATGGGCTAGTCCAGGTGCGAGAATTAGCCTGTAAGGGCTAGAGTTCATGGGCCAAGCAGTTCTTAAATGAATACAGTTTGTGTGTTGTTATTTCGGGCATGAGCTAGCCAAGCGGCCGGGGTGTTGGAGACGCAGCCCCACCGCTTCCTATTTCAACACCAGCCTGTTCGGCGTTAAAACATCCTTGTTCTGAAGCTGCGGACAGTCATTCCTCTTAGAACAGTGTCCACAAACACTTTGGTAATTTTCTTACACCGCTATTTCTTTTCCACCCGCTCCTGGAACTGAACGAACCAGTACAATGTGCTCCTTAATAAAACAGAGGGCACAGAGTGTAAGAAGCTCTTCCATTTCAGATTGTATCGAAGATGTAGCGGAGATGCTAAACTACAGTTACTCTATGTAACTTAGTGCCTATTGGTGAGAAGCCCCAGAGCACAGAGCCGGGCTTGTTCAAACGTCCACTGCTCCCTAGGGGTTAAGAGAAGGTCAAAGACAGGCAAGTCCCCAACATGTTGTTCACAGGCACGCGATACACACACAAGTAGATACACTGATATGCATCGACAGAGAAACCCACGAAGACCTTGAGGCGCCCATGCGCGCACACCAGGGTGCAAGCGTCCATGTGTCCACTTGGTCCTGGAACTCACAACTGCCTGTATCTTTTAGTTCCATCTGATGCCCACACGGACACGTGCACAGCTCTTATGCCAGCATTCGAAGTTCTGTGGAGTTGCGGGGTAAATCCTTGTTACCAGGCAGGGTCTCACTTCCCACACACCAATCTGAAGCCGGCTCCCGATGTGCACTAGCTCACCGGGAGGAGTGACATTGGCCACGCCTTTCCTTGCCAACCCTCTCTTCCATTGGTTGTGGAAGCAGGCCTCCCGCCTCCTCTTCCTTCTGGCACGGCCCATCACCGCCTCCGGATCTCCATTGGTCGAGGCAACAAGTCTTCCCAAGAGAGGCGGTGGGCGAGGTGCAGAGGCGTTAAGAACTAGATGGACGAGCTTGCTAGCCAATGAGCATGTGTATCTACCTCAGCAACTGCGACTCACCAATGACGAGGCAGAGTGGGCGGGACGCTGCGGCTGTCAAGCGCCCCTGGCCGGTGGAGCAAACGCGTTCCCCGCGGAGCTCGGGGACCCGCAGCCGCCTGCGCGCAGCTTGGGGCCGGTATGGGAGGGGTGGCCAGGCCGGCATGATGAGCGCCCTGGGCAGCCCTGTGCGGGCCTACGATTTTCTACTTAAGTTCCTGCTGGTGGGCGACAGCGACGTGGGCAAGGGCGAGATCCTGGCCAGCTTGCAGGACGGAGCAGCCGAGTCTCCTTATGGCCACCCGGCGGGTGAGCGCAGCGGCGGGAGCGCGGTCGCAGCACCCGGAGGCGCAGCGCTGGGGTCTCGGTGCGAGCGGCCGCTCCAGAGTGGGTGTAGCCCACGGAGCGACTGGGCAGGGCTAGGTCCCGCATGCTGGGGTAGACTGCGCGCTGTGGGCAGAGTCCGCAAAGCGGCTCGGGGTGGGTGTCGAGGGAGACCGCAGGTGCGAGCGACGAGTCTGGGAGAAGTGAGTGGGATTGCGGGAGGTATGGGCAGAGAGGCAGCGGACTAGGGAACAGGAGAGTCCACGAGCTCCGGGGCCGTGACCTTTTGGTGCGTGGGACTGCAAGCAGAGAGTAACAAGACTAGGCTTGAGCCTCGTGTTCCAAGCATCTAGCACTGGGGCTCCCTGTTCTAGTGGACAGGGCTTTTAGGAGGAAGCGCCTCAGTGACCCTGTGGAGCTGGCTTGAGTGTAGGAAGGTGCCCAACTAAGAGGCTCGGGAGACTGGGCACAGATAGAAGTTTGAGGTTTGAGACCCTGCACCCGAGAGGAAGAAAACACTGGGGCAGAAACCTGGGCCAGACATACAAGAATAGTCATGTGGTGACGCCTCCCTCGTACTGTGGCTGTGGAGAATGACTATTGTGATTGCCTTTTGGTATCATCGTGAGGTTTCAGCTCACCTTTCTAGGACAGACCTCCGTCCTCCGGGCTTGCAGGCATCTCTAGCCCCCCTGGCAATGCCACATGGGCTAGCAAGGCTCTACAAAGCGTGTGGTCCAGGGCCGGTAACTGCCAGCCTGGACGGCACAGATTTAGACCTTTAGGGCAAAGTTCTGTTGGACAGCGCTACCCCAAGAGCAGGCACGTATCCACAGTCCGGTCTTCAGGTCTTGGTGCTCAATGAGGCATTGGCCTCAGCAGAGGAAGAGTCAAACATTTAGAGAACCCCCAAAAGGGATATGAGTCCCACAGTAGTTGCTTGATGTGGGCAGTGAGAAAGACGTTGATGACATGTGAGCAGCCTGGTTAGATTGAGCAAGGCTTTCCTTCATATTTTATTGTCGACGTGGCTGAGAAAGAACTGATACCATAGTTGTGGCCTTTGTGGACCTTTGATTTACTAAATATTTCTTCTAGGGCTAAGAAAAGGGAGTAGGAAGAACAGGCCGGGTATGGTGGCTCACATCTGTAATCCCAGCATTCAAGAAGCAGAGGGGGTTAAATGGACATGAATTTTAAGCCAGCCTGGGCTACAATGTGAGACCCTTTCTGGGAGAGGGGGTAAAGAAAACAGAACAGGAGGGAGAAAAGAGGGGAGAGAAGAAAAGAAAGAAGAAATATAAATAAATGGGGGAGAGACGCCATTATGAGGATGGGGCCGTTATGCTGTTATCAGGACGACAGACATTTCGTCGTGAGACTCTCGGTGCTTTGGCAGGGGAGGGGGATGTTTGCAGCATCACGCTCCACTCTCCCACCCATGTCCTGGTTTTGTAGCCCACTTTGCAATTCTCATACTGCCGAGGTTCATAACCCTCGAGTCTGTATTGTGGCTCTAATATCAGGGTGCAGTGTTCACCCGGATTCAGCACTGGCTAACCCTTTGAAGCATAGCTTACTCCCAGGTTCTTTGTGGTGCCTCTCGTTACCAGTTATCCAGGAAAGACTAAGAGCTTTCTTGAGTTGCTTGCACTGAGAACACCATTGTCTGCCTTTGGACGAAGCCTTGGCTGTACATAGTGTTCCTAGACTAGACTGCTCTTTTCCCTCAACACCTGGGAACTTGTTCACTGTCTGTCTAGTAGTTGATGTTGTCATGGTGAAAGCCTCCAGTCAACTGACTTCCTAGATGGGTAGTCTGTCGTTTCTTCAGGAATTTCTGAAGACTGTTTTTCTTTGCCTTACAGTTCCTTGCTTAATCGGGCCATGACTCAGAGGTTTTGGTATATTAGATAATCTGAGTTCCTAGATTTAAAAAAAAAATATTTGCTTAATTTCAGAGGAATTTGTTCTTATGTCCATAAAAATATCTTCTATTGGTTTTGTATTAGTTTCTTGTATGCTGTTACAAAAAATGACTACCAGCCGGCTTAAAACAACAGAAGTGTATTCTCTCGCAGTTTTGGGTCTGGCAATCTACGGTTTGGCTGACCTAAAGGCAAGGCATAAGTAGGACATGGAACTCAAGGAGAGAGTCTTCTAGCTTGTCTTTCTCAACTTCTTCTAGAACCTTCCTGCACCCCAGGGCTCCGAGCCCCTCTCTTGGTCTTCAGCGCCATTGGCAGCCATTGTGTCTTCCTCATTTCCCTTCACTCTGACATGAATTTTCCTGTCTCCCCTTGCCACTCCCACAGACCCTATGATAACTTTTGTGCACATAGACGATCCGGGACAATATCTCTGTCTTAATACTTTCTATTACCAACTTTAATTCCATCTGTACCCTAACACACTCACAGATTATGAGGCTTGAGCGTGCACATTGATGAGATGCCTGCTGTTCTTCCCTGCAGTTTTATGCTGGATGTCTGTGCATTGTCCAAATGCAGTCACTATGTTGTTCTTATTTTCTTCTTTATAGACCAGGCTGGCCTCAAACTCTCAGAGATCTGCCTGCTTCTGCCTCCCAAGTGCTGGGATTAAAGGTGCGTGGCACCACCACCCAGCTAGCTTGTCTTTCTTTATTGAGCATTTTGCTTTTAGTAAATTGTTTGCAGTTATTTGCAGCTTAGTTTTTAATTGAGGAATGATGTCATTCCAAAGCTTTTCTTTATTTTTGCTATTTTCCTCTTTTCAATGTAAACAGTTTCCACATTTCACTGAAGATCTCCTTGAGGGGCTGTGGAGACGGTTCAGTTAAGAGCACTCACTGCTCTTCCAGAGGACCTGGGTTCCGTGTCCAGCGCCACATGGTGCTGGAACTCATAACTGCCTGTAACTGTAGTTCCCACAGATCTGACGTGTTCGTCTGGCCTCTGAAGGCACCAGGCAAGCACGTGCTACACATACCTGCATGCAGGCAAATCATTAATACACAGAAAGTAAACATAAATGAAACTTTAAAGTAAAAAGTGTCAAATATCTATTTGAGTTCATAGTTTACTGACTTAAAGTTTTTGTAAGTTCACTGTGTTGTCAAAGCAGGCAGAAGGGACTTTCTTTTGTCCCTTGGTCCCTTTGTCATGCTTTCGTTACTCTTAACGTTTTGGGGTGACATGTGCTGTAGAATGGTACACATTCTGTTGTTACACGGCTTAGCGAACTCCACAACCCTAACATGCCATGTCACCGGCATCCAGATTAAGATGTGATTCTGGGGGCTGGAGAGATGGCTCAGCGGTTAAGAGCATTGCCTGCTCTTCCAAAGATCCTGAGTTCAATTCCCAGCAACCACATGGTGGCTCACAACCATCTGTAATGAGGTCTGGCGCCCTCTTCTGGCCTTCAGGCATACATGCAGACAGAGTATTGTATACATAATAAAAATTAAAAAAAAAAAAGATGTGATTCTGCCAGCCTCCCCTCTACCAGTCCCACCATGCCCCTCAACATAAGCACAATCCTGGATTTTGACAGAATAGGTCACTCTTGCCTGAATCTATACGGTGGAAAGGAGAATCCCACAGCGTCTGCTCCTCTGTGAGTGCTTCTCTCGCTCCTATATGCATGTGAGGTTCTTGTTTGTAAACACTTTAAGTGGCCACACTGTGGCTTGCCGGTCCTGCTGGTCATGGGAATGTGTGTGGTTTCCAGTTTCTGATGGTATGGTTTTCTTTGCTGTGCACCGTGGTTTCCAGTGCTTGTCTTTTTCACTTCTGTTAGCAATGCTGAGTGTGAGACACGTGTGTGGGGCTGAGTGTGTAGCTTAGTCATACAGCATGTGCCTTTCCATATGTGTGACCATGGGCTCAGTTCCCATAACCACACACACACACACACACACACACCAGACGTGAATACTTACACATAAATTTAACTCTGGTGCATACATTTCTACAAGAGCTGTGGTGACTTATACCCTCACCAACACTTTAATCACTTTAATACTTTCCTTTCATATTTTAGCTGTTCTCTTTTGCTTGATTTTAGATTTTTTTTTTTAAATTGTTGTGAGTATTTTGCCTTCATGCACGTAGGTACTCCACATAGATGCCTGGTGCCCATGAATATCAGAAGAAGATGTTGGATTCCCTGGGACTGGAATTATGGAAGGTTGTGAGCTATATGTGGGAGCTGGGAACCAAACCCAGGCTCCTGGAAAGAGCATCATGGGCTCGTAACTACTGAGCGACCTCTCCAGTCCCTCTTTCGTTTATTTTAGTGTGATCTAGGGGGTGTAGCTCGTTTGGCAGAGTGATTTCCTAACGTGCATGAAGGCCTAGTGTTGCTCCTCAACACCACATTAAAGAAACAAAATAAGCCGGACGGTGGTGGTGCACGCCTTTAATCCCAGCACTTGGGAGGCAGAGGTAGTGGATCTCTGAGTTTGAGGCCAGCCTAGTCCACAAGAGCTAATTCCAGGACAGCTAGGGCTGTTATACAGAGGAAACAAAACTAGACAAAGCAAAACGAAAAACATAGATGTAGTGGCCTAGAATGGCAATCTCAGCATTTAAGAGGTCAGGTTGAAGCAGGAGAATTAGGAGTTCAAGATCATCCTTAGATATATAGCAAGTTCAAGGCCAGCCTGGGCTACATGAGATCCAACCTCAAAAAGACACAGAAATTTTTTAAAGCATTTGTTTAGGATTTTTATTTTCTGTTGGCTAATGAAATTAAACACATTTTCATTTTTTATTTCTTGTTTTATCAAATATGCACAGCTTTGTCTTTTTTTTTTTTCATGGAGCTTGATTATTTTTAGTGATTGGTGGGAGTGTTTAAAAATATGTCTATGAGTCTTGTGTTAGTTACTTGCCCTGAGCATAGTGACTCTCCCCTGGGAGCATTTTGTCAATCCTTTTGAGCAAACAGAAGACTCTGATTTTAACATAACCAAAACTACCAATGCCTCATGGTTGGAG